GATGGAATGGTATGGGAGGGGGCCCGTCCTGTCAGCTGGCGTGCAAAGGTCTACTGGATCCCCATCACAATACACTCCCACAAGAACAGGGACTTTGCATATGCTGTTCTGGCTCCCCAGTTACCTTCCAAGGGGTCTGAAAGACCTGCTTTTTAGTAGGATTTTTTTACACAGACACCACACTGATAGATCAAGATGTTGCTTTCAGTCAGCATGCGTTCAGAATAGCTAAGTATATATTTTAATGTAATAAATTACGGCACATTTCCAAGACAGCTATTCTTCTGCCACTGGAAGGGGTCATATGGAAAATGTCATGATGAAAGAGTAAGGGGCAATGTACTGCAGACACTCTGACACTTGTATGCAAAAGCAAAGTGGTTCTGCTAAGTCAGGGGCACTCTGGTCAATAACAAATTTAACCTATTTACATTTATTATTACCTTTAGTGTAACATACTGCTGAATAGAAATTAGCATTATTTTACTGATCTTTTATGTCATCATACTGTTTCTTCAGCATCTGTATTTATTTATTTGACAGTCTGTTTCCAAAAGGTAATTTCTTTTTCTTTTATTTAAAAAAATTTTTTAAGATTTTATTTATTTATTTGACACAGAGAGAGATCACAAGTAGGCAGAAAGGCAGGCAGAGAGAGGAGGAAGCAGGATGCCTGCTGAGCAGAGAGCAGAGAGCCCTATGCGGGACTCGATCCCAGGACCCTGAGATCATGACCTGAGCCGAAGGCAGATGCTTAACCCACTGAGTCACCCAGGTGCCCTACCAAAAGGTAATTTCTAATTAGGGCTGTGATCTATCATTTTATTCTCAGACACGAGTTTAAGGTGAGATTCTTGACTAAGGACATTGAAATTTAAAGTAATTTTCTGGGGTCACCTGGGTGGTTCAGTCAGTTAAGTGTCTGCCTCTGGCTCAGGTCATGATCCCCAGTGTCCTGGGATCGAGTCCTGAGTCAGGCTCCCTGCTCAGAGGGGAGTCTGCTTCTCCCTCTCCCTCTGCTGGCTTCTGTCCCCCTGCTTGTGCTTCCTCCCTCTCAAATAAATAAATAAAACCTTTTTTTAAAAGTTAAAAAAAAAACAAATAAAATAACTTTTCTGGAAGTCTGAACTTATTTCAAAAATAGAATATTAAAAAACAAACATGTTAAGGAATTGTATTAAATTTAGCTTGTTACGACAATGGCATTGTGCTCTGCGTAATGAAAAAGAATCCTGGTCCGTTAGAGACATATCCTAAAGTATTTACTGGTGAAGTGATTTAATGTCTTGGATTCACTTTTTTAAAATGACAGCACAAAAATTTTGTTTAATAAATAAGTGAGGGGACGAAGGAGGTATATGAAGACAGAAAGACTCAAGTTGGTGGTTGTCGATGTGGGAGATGGGTCCATGGTATTTCACTGAACGATTATCTCTATGATTTTGCTTGTGATTGAAGTTTTATATAATAAAACATTTTTTTAAAAACACATACGTATATTTTCAACATGAATAACTAAAACAACAAAAAAAATGTGGTCGATGATTTTGGACATACTCTCTGGCCTAAATCTTCTCTTTTTCTCCCTTTTCTTCCACCACCTCTGCCCTAAATCTGTCTTCACTGACCATTTTGATCTTGCTATGTAGTTTTTGAAGAGCTAAGTTGAAGAGGGTGATGCCACAGTGGAAAATTCCAGGTGCTGCTGGCTGTGGATGGGTTTGGCTAGTACACACATCAGCGCCCCCTCCTGGAAGGAGAGAAAGGCAGCAGGGTCCTTGGCTTTCTAACTGAGTTGAGTGCCTGGCTTAAAAAAAAAAAAAGAAAGAAAATTATGGTGCTATTTTGGTGACTTATTTATTTACTTATTATTAAAATTTTCCAGCTTCATTAAGGTACAACCGACCTATAATATTGTGTAAGTGTACAATGTGCCGATTTGATTTGATACACGTAGGTGTTGTGGAATGATTACCACAGAAGCGTTAGCTACTGCCTCACATGAGAACATTTGAGATTTCTTAGCATCTTCCAAGTATATAGAACGGTCCCTGTCACTATAGACACCATTCTGTGCCTTCCATCCCCAGGACATACTCCTCTTATAACTGGAAGTGTGTACCCTTTGACGGACATGCCTGTTTTCCCTCTTCCTCCAGCTAGCTCACTCTCTCTCACACTTGAAGACGTGGCTCAGTGCCTCTCCTCAGGCCAGACTCTCTAACGTTGCTCCCCACATTCCAGAATCACGATCAGAAACTATCCTACTCATCTGTGTGTTTTGCTGTTAGTGTCTGTCTTCTCCAGCTAGAATGTAAACTTTATGAGGCCAGAGATCTCGTCGATCTAGTTTAAGGGTTTGAGGTGTGGAATCAGCCTGATCGTTCAACAGCTGACTGACTGCGTAACTGAAAGCTTCCCCCACCTCCCCACAGTTTGCTGCTCCTTTCTCTGACTCTCTGCTCCTTCCTCTGCTAGAATCCTCTCACCACCTCAGACCCAGCTCCTCCCGGGCCACAGCCTGGAGCGGGGGATGCTCTTCCTTCCTGCTGCTGTCACCCCCTTACCCAAGGCTAATGCTGCCCTTGTTTCCATCACTGGAGGTTTAAAACATTTACTTGAAATTGCAAACCAATCAACTTAGTTATTCTCTTGGGAAGAGAGATGTAAAAATGAAGAGTTGCTAATAATCGAGATAAGAAGAGAATGTGTTTTAATAAAAGGGACTTGTCTGGCCAGAACAGAAAACTGGTCAGATAAACTACCTCAGAATGGAAGGATATTTTCCTAGGGATCCTTCCCTGATTCCAACGATGTTTCCACATCGATTCACTGGGGGAGCAGCCCCTGGTGTGGGACCACGGTTTTCAAGGTGCGCTGAGCAAAGGGGCTTACATTCTACCCAGAACACCTTCGCATTTGTGTTTTTTATAATTGGTAGAATTTAGTTTGAAGAAGGATTTCCTCTTCCTAAAAAGCAGTCAGAGGATTGCAGGAGCCTGAGGTAAGATACTCCACGTATTCCCTGTGTGACCTCGGAGAAGCCTCTTAACCTCTCTGGGCTGGTACAATAAAGAAATAGTGGAGCTAAGAAACCTTACCTGTTTGAAGACAGGAAATGGAGTTAGAGGGCTTCTGAAGCTCTCTTGGGGATAGAAGATCCCTGAGGACAGTGACAGTAGCGCTAGTCAGAGTAGTAGAGGTATAGCGCCATCTACGTGCAAGAACCAGAAAGGCCGCAAGGGGTAGGTGTTACTCCATGAGAAAAGCTTTGCTCTGTGGACTGTTTCCCTCTCGGAGTTCCAGTGTGAGAGATTGGGAAATGTCTTCTTTGAAATTACAGAAAAGGAAAAGAAAAGTCTTCAGTGCTCTCAACATCAGGCAGAGGATTGAAAATCTTTTTTAGTGATGAATCCCGGCAAAGTCACCCAGTGTGTGATGCAAGCTGTGTTTTCCTAACAGAGCATCAAAGAAGAGCTTATGTGATGGAGCAATTAGCAGGAATTTGGTTTTTCTGTATTTTAGAGGCGATTGCCTCCAGGGCCAGGTTACCAGGGGTTCGGGGCGGGGGTGCATTGAGCACAAAGGACATTTTCTGTATTAGGACTTGGGCAGGTACCTTTGTCCTGTCATACTGTATTGGTGGGGGGAGGATGAAACAACGGGATTCGGCAAAAACACAGGTTGGTCCAAGAGATCCCATCTCACTCAGACATTAGGGGCAGAGGTCGGAAGACACAGAGGGGAGGAGGGTGTTGACTGCTTGGCGCCATGGAGACAGGGAAGCTGGAGAGGGGTTCTGAGTAGCTTGTGCAGAAGGGGATGACTGAGATCACCCGGTAGAGAGTCCGAGTGATGATGGAGAGCAGATGCCCTGAGCCTGGCAGCTAGAGAACTTTCTGGACATAGACCTGCCTGTCGTTATCCCCAGAGTTTGGTCATCACCAGAATAAATGAGCTGAACATTCCCAAATCCATGCTGGACCCACCTGTCGGGGGCCTCGGTCAGGGACGCGCCCTGGTGACCTTCATGAAGACCTGCATGGGTGGGTGATGACCAGCCCTTTGCTGCCTTGACTGCTCTCCCACCTCTTACAGCAGGTGGGGGAGAGGGGTGTCACCCCCTGAGGGGTGACCAGCGAGGCAGCACCCGGAAAGCTATTTGGAATCACCTGTTTCTCCTCTTTCTGCCCAGGGATCCTGTCCCTGTGCTTTAACAAAGTCAACTTTTTTGCACCAAAGATGTCTCCAGAATTCTTTCTTGGCCATTGGCTCTGAATCTCACCAACATTCCAAAACCATGTCACCTCCTGCCCCTCCCCACCACACCTCATCCATCTTAACAGCTTTGCTGTTTCCCACAACACATATCACACCTGCCATGCCATGCAGAAGTCACCTGTTCATGTTTTTAATTTCGGCCACCCCCATTAGCACGTGAGCTCTCTGAGGGCAGTCTTATTCTGCTTGGTAGACTGCTACATATTCGGCGCCTAGCAGAGCATCCGGCAGAGTAAATCCCTGTGGAATGAGTGAAAGATCATCGTGACTGGGGAGGCAACAAGGCACACACACGTGGCTCCTTGAAGCGTTTTCCCTGGAGGCAGCGGTGCGTGCGTGTCTTTGTGGGTAAGTGTCAGAGAAGCGGGCTGCCCATGGGCCTGAGCATGGCCTGAGGTGGGCAAGCAGGTTTCTCCCGCTCTGAGTGTTTCCCAAAGCTGCCAACGGCACGGTTTCCTCCTGGTTGGCAGGAGGAGTCCTGCGGTATGGCTCAGGGGTCCCCAATCTGGAGGACTTGAGGGCCAGGCCTCTGGGGATAGAAGCTTAAGAACCCAACCCAGGGTTAGGGTTTGGGCCTGGGGCATGGCAGGCCCCACCTGCCGGGGCTGAGGCGGCCTCCGGGGAAAGGGGGGTGGGTGGGGGCTGAGTGGAGGGCAGGTGTGGCTGGCATTCAGAGAAGACCAGGGCCGCGTGTGTGCCCACCCTTTAGAGCGCTTTACCGTAGGCTTTGGGCGACACCACCCGGGACCCTGGGGCAGGGACAGAAGGCTCCCCCGAAGCCCCCCACTGCCAGAAGCGAGTTCGCTGGGGGCTTTCCGGCCAATTCTCACGAGCTTTCCACCCAAATCGACATGGATTTGGGCAGAAAGCTTGTGAGAACTGGCCAGCATTGAGTGGCCATTCCAGCCGTGCGCCGGCCCCGTGCTGAGAGCGCTTTCCCTAGGTGCGAGTTGCGGGCATGGGAGACTGCACACCGGGCCCACACCGCTCCCGGAGGCCCCCCGCAGAGGCGAGCTCCTGGAGACAAGAGTTGAGTTAGGGTGTGAGCCTGAGCCTCAGGCTCTTGCTACTTTTGGCAGAATGGGGTGCCGAAGGTGAGGGTGGCCTGAGGTGGGCAAGGAGCTTTCTCCTGCTCTGTTTACCGCAGTTCCCAACGGCTCGGTTTCCTCCTGGGTAGCAGGCGGAGTCCTGTGGTATGGCTCAGGGGTCCCCAGTCTGGAGGGCTTGGGGGCTGGGCCTCTTGGGACAGAAGCCTGAAAACCCAACGTAGAATTGGGGTTAGGGGCTAGGGGCATGGCAGGACCAATCTGCTGGCGCTTAGGCGGGATCCCCAGGGGGCAGAGTTGAGGACAGGCATCATGGGGCATGTCAGCCTCTGGGATTGTGACCAGGGGGGCCGCCAAAGGTTAGGGTGGCTTCAGGGAGGCATGCAGGTTTCTCCGGGTCTCAGAGTTCTGTGCAGCTGCAAATGGCAGTTTCCATCTGGGTGGCAGGTGGACCCCTGAGGTGTTGGTCTGGGACCCTGGGGGACAGGCCCCTGGGGACGGAAGCCTGAATACCCAGCCTAGGGTTCGGATAGGGCATAGGGGCATATCAGGCCTGATCTGCCAGCGCTGAGACGGGCACTCCAAGGGGTTGAGTAGACGAAGTGTTTGGCCACGTGTGCGTGTGGCTTTTAGAGCACCTCCTCACAGGGTTCGTGCGGCGACCACTTGAGACCATGGGCCAGGCACAGGAGGCTCCCCTGAAGTCCTGGACAGCCGGAAGTGAGTTCGCTGGGGCTTTCTGGCTGATTCTCACAAATTGACATTGATTTGGGCAGAAAGCTCCTGACAATGGGCGGGAATTGGGCGGGGATTTGGACCACGCGTGGCCCTGTGCTGAGTACTTTCTTGTTAGGTGCATGTTGCCTCCATTGGAGACCACGAACTGGGGCCACGTGGGTCCCAGAGCCCCCCTCAGAGGCAAGTTCCCCAGGGGCAAAGTTAAGTTAGGGTGTGAGCCTGAGCCTCAGGCTCCGGATTTTTTGGCAAACGGGGGCGCCGAAGGTGAGGCTGGCCTGAGGTGGGCGAGCAGATTTCTCCCGCTCTGAGTGTTTCCCGCAGCTCCCAACAGCATGGTTTCCTTCTGGGTGACAGGCAGAGTCCTGTGGTATGGCTCATTGGTCCCTAATCTGGAGGGATTGAGAGGCCAGGCCTCTGGGGACGGAAGGCTGACAACCCAAACTAGAGTTAGGGTTCGGGCCTTGGTGCATAGCAGGCCCTATTTGCCGGCGCTGAGGCGGGATCGCTGGGGATCTGGTTAGAGGGCATGGTTCAAAGCGGGCGTCAAATCTGGGTTTGTGGCCCAGGGGGCCGCTGAGTATGGCGGTAGCCTCTGGGGTACATGCAGGTTTCTCCTGCTCTGAAGGTTCTCTGCAGCTCCAAAGGGCATGTTTTCCTCCTGGGTGGCAGGTGAACTCTTGGGGTGTGGTACAGGGGTCCCCTATCAGGATGGCCGAGAACCAAACCCAGGCTTAGGGTTAGGGCCTAGGGGCATGATAGGCCCATCTGCTGGGGCCAAGGTGGGCTGCACAGAGGACTGTGTAGAAGAGAGACTTGGTCCGCATTCAGAGGTGATCCTGGAGGATTCCTGGTCTCCCTAGCACCCCAGTCATCCTGAGTGTCCCCTGTCGTGGCACTTGTCACACAAGACTGTCATTTGTTGTCTCTCGGTCTGTCCTTTCTGCGTGGAGTCGATCTCTCTCACAGATGCCTGGCTGGATGACAGGCAGATGAATGGTTTTGGGATCTTTGGTCCTGGAACAGCAGGCGTCCCCCAAAACCCTGATGGACAGGAGGAGTCTCTGTCCCTCTGTGTGCCCCCAGCCTCGGTGGAGCCTAGTGTCCAGGACAAGGGACTTGGGAGTCCTCCCAGATGAAGTTTGTTCTATGAAGGTGGCTTCCTTCTGAGATCACTCTGCAAACACATGATGTGGCCGCTCCTGTGGGACAGAAAGCACGCTACTGTATTGTATTCTCCTTGCACACTGTGGCTACCAAAGAGGAAACGCATACTCACCCCCACACGTTCACACTCACACCTCCGTTTCTGAGCATCACTACCACGGAAACAACAGTGAATTCCCGTTGGGCTGCAGACCTGTAGACGTGCCATTCAAGGTGTTCATAGAGGAGGAAGGAGATGGCGTTCTGGCTAAAAGGATGGAAGTCCTTGCCTCTGGGGGTAAAGACATTAGATTTGACCCAGAAGGCGCTACGTTCTACTCATAGAAGGGACATGATCTGAGGATCTCTGAGACTGGGGACTGACACAGACTTTTCTGGAAAGTCTTCTGTGAAGATCTTCTGTGAGGCGTTGCAGTCCATGTGGTGTCTCCGGCAATGACTCCACTCTTGCCTTGTGGCTTGAGAGCAGCCACAGAACGTTCATAACTAATGTTCCAGACACACTGGATTGGGAGAATATGGGGGGAGGTCCATTTGGCCCATGGGTGGTAGTTTCCCCCACCCCAGATCTGCCACACGATGGATGATGGCGGAGAGGGCTCTTCTTTTCCAGTGGCAGACTGGGAAGACACTGCCTGACCCCGGGCCCTGCCCATGAAAGGACAAAAAGGTGATAGTGAGATTGGCCAACAATGAAGGCCTCAGGAGTTCCCTCCCCCACCCCATTTCTCTGTCAGCCTCGAGCTTCCCACAACACGTTTGTCTGTGGTTGAATCCCATGTAGGTATTGTTTGGCTGAGTCAGTCCCCACTGCCTGGTGGTCTATCTTGCGGGTTCTATACCACACAGGTGCTCGTCTTGTTCAGGCCAAGACCATGAGCACATTTGGGCTTCTCCTGAGTTAGGGGAGGATCTGGCATGCGTAGGCTTCAGGACGAGTGTGATTCAGCCCTCAGCAATGTTATGGAGCACCTGGCTTCCTGGGCCCTCTGTGGCACTGGCACAGGCCTGGCCTAGGCCACTTGTGCCGTCATGATGGAGAAGCCTAGTGTTTTCCATCTTCCTCCACCCTCTGTCAGCACATGGGTTTCCCACCAACCATGTCTTTGCAGACAAACTCGGAGATGGCCCATGGCTTGGGACTCCATTAACATCCCAGAGTCTTGTTATAACCAGTGTCAGAGGTTTCTGGGGCCCTGACATGAACTTTGTTCCCAGAATATGCCCCAGGAAGAGTCCCAGGAGAGTCTGGGAGTACAGGAAAGATCTGCGGGTGCTGAGGGAGATCACAGGGGGCTGAGGGGAGGGCAACAGTCAGACAGGGCTTCAGGCTCTGGGTTTGTGGCAGGGGGGCCGCCAGTGTTGACGGTGGCCTCAGGGGGTTAAGGAGTTTCTCCCATTCTGTGGGTTTGGCACAGCTCCGAATGGCACGGTTTCCTCCTGGGGGGCAGGCAGTCCCCTGGGGTATGGCTCGGGATTCTCAATCTGGGGGGCTTCAGGGCCAAGACTCTATGGATGGAAGTATGAGAACTCAACCCAGGGTTAGGGTGCAGGCCTAGGGGCATGGGAGGACCTACCTGTCCCTGCTCAAGCAGGCTCCCTGGGGGGCTGAGTAGAGGGCGGGGTTGGCCAGCGTTCAGAGGAGGCAGGGGCGGCCGTGTGAGCAACCAGTGTTTCGAGGGCTTTCCCGTGGGCTTCGGGCGACATCACTCGGGACCCCAGGCTGGGCCCAGGCGACTCCCCCTGAGACCCCCGCTGCCGGAAGCGAGTTCGCCAGGGCTTTCTGGACAATTCTCACGAGCTTTCTGCCCAAATTGACATGGATTTGGGCAGAAAGCTCATGAGAATTGGCCGGTGTTGGGCGAGCGATTCAGGCCCCGCGTCGACCTCGTGCTGAGATCGCTTTCTCGCTAGGTGCGTGTTGCGGGCATGGGAGACAGCGAGCCACCCACAGGCTCCGGGGTGGCCCTCCGCAGAGGCAAGCTTGGCGGGGGTGGGGGGGTTGGGCAGAGCTGAGTTAGGTTGTGAGCCTGAGCCTCAGGCTCCGGCTTCTTTTGGCAGAAGGGGGCGCTGAATGTGAGGGTGGCCTGAGGTGGGTGTGCAGGTTTCTCTGCTCTGAGTGTATCCCGCAGCTCCCAGTGGCACAGTTTCCTCCTGGGTGGCAGGGGGAGTCCTGAGCGGAGCCCACCAGAAGGCCTGGATGGGCTTGCAGAAGAGTCACGGGAATGTCTGTGCCTCCTCCAGGTTCCTGACGAGTGTTTTGTGGGAAACTTGTCCAGAGCTGTGCTGGCGGGGTTTAACAGTCACTTTGTGGGATCTCCAAAACCTTAACCATTTGTCGTCATAGGCCGGGGGAGCAGCTCGCATGTCAGGGCGGGTCTCTCTCTCCTGCCTGGCAGAGAAGGGGGCGTCATGAACCCAGCTTGTCGAGAGGTTTCGGTGAGTTAGCCTTGTGCTCAAAGTGCCACGGGAACCGAGGGGTGAACCCAAAGCAGGCGAGGTTGGGTGTTGACCCTTGAGCCTCCCCATGTTTTTCTGACGACTATGGGGCCCCTTCCTTCTGGCTCTGCTTCTCTCCCCATCTGGTGGCATCCTGTCCCCAAGTATCCCTGCTCTGGTCTCTTCTCCCTCCTGCTCTTGCTCCTGTTTAGGTCTGAAAGCAAAGGCCTTGTCTTCCCTTGTCCAAGAGGGTGTCCGTGTGGATCACGTCTCCATCCCGTTTCCTCCCCTCCCTCCCTTCACAACTCACACACACACACACGTGCACACACAGATATGCACACATGTGCATGCACAGACACACAGACACACACACACATACACAGGCTTACCGTGTCACCTCCCACCCCTCCGTGCTCCCCGAACCACCTCCCTTTCTCTGGTCGCCATCACATCACTCCTGCTTCTCCTCCTGCCTAGTGGGCACGTTCTCCTTCTCTTCTGCCGGCTCCCCGCTCTGCTGGTCATCTGGCAGCAGGCAAGCTCAGAATCTGGCCTCAGGCCTCTGTTGTCGTGCAGGCCGGCATCAGGGTGACTGCACACCATGCCCCAAGACCTCTGGACCAGGCTCTCCCAAGCCCATCCTAGTCTACCACTAACCCAGGCTCCACGCTGGGTCCAGCCCTGTGACTGAGACTGTCCCTCCCATCCCTCCCCACCCCCCCCAGCACACACATGCACTCCCCCTCCCGCAGTGCCTCACCTGGCTCCTGGTTCCACCCTGACCTGGTCTCTCGAGTCAGAATCTGTAAATGACCCTCAGGTTCCCCTCCCTCCCACGCCCCTGCCATCCTGTCCATTAGTTAGTTCAGGTGAGTCTCTTCCCCATATTCCTCGGATGGCTCCCAGACCTGGGCTTTGCTCTGACCTTCCCACCTCTCCCCTACACCTGACCACAGCCTCCTCTCTGTCTCCTGCCCCTCCCCGATTCTTGCCTCCTCCCCTCCCCCACCCAGGGTTCTCTAAACCTTCTGACCATGACTCCCCTCCCACTTAAGACCCAGTTACCCCAGGTGAAGTTCAAACTCCTTAGTCCAGAGGCTTCCAGAGCCCTTGATCACCTGCCCAGACTCATGCTAAGAGCAGGCATTTGGGAACTCCCACTAGACGGCATCCAAGAAACATCATGGGGTTGGGGAGGACGGCATCCTGCAATGCCTGTTTGTGGCCCAGCTGCCTCCAGCCCCTCAGTCTTGGGCGAGTTTCTTAGCCTCACTAAACCCCAGTCCTCTCATCTACAAACTCGGCGTCGTATCCTCTTCGGACACGAAAATGAGCTGAGTGTCGCAGGTGAGGTGCACAGCACAGTGCCTGGCTCTTAGCCTCCGAGGGGATCCATTACCACAACTGTGTTCTTGACCTTGACATCAGTCCCTGGGATGGCGGCTCTCATGATACACGCACTACAGGTGAGAATAATGAGGCACCATGAAGAGAAGTGATCAGGTCACGTGGCGTGTAAATGGCAGAGCCCGGGTTCAAACCATAGCCACTGGGGTCAGCCACCACCCTGAACCGTCTCACTTCCTATCACTGGCTTTCTGGATTTGTTATTTTCTCGGGGTCTGGTACAGTCCCATAGGTCTTACCTGGGAATTTCCCCTTTCCGTCCCTGCAGGCCCTTCAACACTGGGCCCCCACCCGTGGCTTCCTCCGAGCCCCCAGACTGGGACCTCTGGCTTCCACCTCAGACTCCCTGCCCCTTTGTCCACAGCCATCTCTCCTTCCTCTTCTCGCTTCTATCCTGTGGAAACCTGCAGTCCCCTGGGGGTGGTGTTTGCTTCTGCTTCCTCCCTGCTTTCCAGCTGTTCCTCCCTCTAGGCCATCCTATGCATTTTTGCTAGGTTTGGCTGTCTTAATCCCTCACTCAGAAACCTTCCATGACTGTCTATGGCCTCAAGAGGATGTTTACTTTCCTTAGTCTGGAATCCAAAGCTGCCTCTTTTCCTGCGCCCCAGAATGCCCTCTAAAGGGATCTGAGCATCAGTACAATGTGTGTGTGTGGGGGTGTGTGGGGCGGGTCCCCACACCACCTCAAGCATTTCTCCGACAGCAGCTGGATGTCCTACAATTCCGCTCATTTCTGACACTGTCCTCCTGGTGACCGCATCCATTTCCACAGGTGAAGAGTTCAATCCCCCAAGACTGCCCCTGACCCCGCCAATGCCAGACACAAATCCAGGTTGTTACAGACTGAATATACACCCAAGGCTCCATGACCCTGGCTCCCAGAGCTCAGAGAAACATTTTACGCACTCGATTACCAGCTGATTATAAGGGATCAAAGTCAGGAACAGCCAGCTGGAAGAGATGTGCAGGGCAGGGTGTGGGGAAGGGCTCCAGCAAGGGTGTCCTCTGAGCACTCCCCCCTCCCTGAATCACCACATGGTCACCAACCCGGAAACTCTCTGAACCTCCGTTTGGTTTTTTTTTTAAAGATTTTTTTTATTTATTTGACAGACGGAGATCACAAGTAGGCAGAGAAGCAGGCAGAGGGAGAGAGGAGGAAGCAGGCTCCCCGCTGAGCAGAGAGCGCGATGTGAGGCTGGATGTGAGGCTGGATGTGAGGCTGGATGTGAGGCTGGATGTGAGGCTCGATGTGAGGCTGGATGTGAGGCTCGATCCCAGGACCCTGGGATCATGACCTGATCCGAAGGCAGAGGCTTTAACCCACTGAGCCACCAGGCGCCTCCTTCCGTTTGGGTTTTTATGGAGACTTCATTCGTCAGGATTGATGAAATCATTGGCCATCCGCCTTCCCCTCCCAGAGGTCAGGGCTGTGGGGCTGGAAGTTCCAACCCTCAGGTAACAGGGTTGGTTCTCCTGACAACCAGGTCCCAAGCTGCAGGTACTTTCCAAGTCACCTCATTAACATAACTAAAGACAACTTCCTTGCTCTCCTGGCTTAGGAAGTTCCACGG